AGTGCTATCACAGCTGGTACAGTTAACATCAAGAACAGTACGAATCCTTTTTATACAATAGAGCTTTTTAACATACTGATTCAGCTATCTGATGGGGTTAAAGAAGTTATTTACTGCCTTGCAAATAATTTTACCAAGTACAGAATAACTAAGGGATCAGTCAGTGACTGTATACTTTAGTGAGTGTTTACTCCAAATGGTTTGACGTGCCATCAGTTTTCAACTTTTTTCGAACATCTACAAACGGGCAAGAAAACTTTTCTTTTTTTTTTTTACCTGCACATTAGAGGCTGGCCTAGTATTTTGTGTCATCAAAATAATTGTTTTAAGCAATATTTCTATTTAAAAATATTCCAAAGCAAAATATTTTTATTTTCCACACGTTACTCAGAATCTGTGTAGTTTTATTAAATCAACAGAGAGGGGAGCTCTTACTCCAGTGTTCGCTAGTACTTAAATCACTAAAAGTAACTGTCTCACTACACATGGAGAAATAAAAAAAAAAGTAAAATAATAAAAAGAAGCATAGCTATTTCCACTTAAAATTACAAAGCTTTTATTGTACAATGCTGCCAGGTGTTTAGAAAGGCTTCTCTAGACAGTCAGGCATTAAACCAAGCTCTGATTAACAAAGAACCACTTAATTTTTTATTTTTTATTTTTTTTTATTTTAAAATATTCCTATTCTATAACTGACATCCTTTCAATAACTGAATTTAATAAAGATGTACCTTATCAGGCTGTGCAGATAACATGAAGTGCTAGTACTAATGCTCTACAATATTCTTCAAACAGATTAGCAGGATGTGCGCTTCAGCAAATTTATTCTGGCTATCTCCACTGAATCAGCTGTCTGCTAATGCTTGTACAACTCAGACACCAATAGTGTTATCATAAACACAGTTTAATAGAGGTGACTTAGTGAGGCTAAACATAATATTCCTAAACCAACTGAGAGCTAAGGTATTGTGCACCATCTTTGAAAAATAATTACAATTAAGAGAGTTATTGCACGTTTTGGAATTCACATAGACAGCCTGTGGTTGTCAGAATAGACCTTAATAAATGTAATAAATTTCTGATGGATATGTTTTTGAAGTGACATACTTCTTGCTACCAAGTGCAACAGTACCGTATTTCTGTGAATTATTGTGTGTGATGATATGGCAGCCAAGTGATACTGATAGTTTTGATAATTTCAATAGCAGTACAGAAACATGTGGCAACTGTATGTTATTAATTGGTTCTCCTAAAATTCTTGAATTTTTTTTGTTCTCAGTGAAAAGCAAAATCATGTGGTATAAGATCAATCTATTTGTTTATGTTTCTTACATATTCAATAGATATGTGTATTTTCTTAGTTTTACATTACTGTAAGCATTTAAAAACATTTATATTTTTTGGAAGATGTTCATATTGCAGAAGCATGAATTTCTCATTATGTGTTTTGGAAAATTATAACATAGATGTACCTTTGTGATAAATTTTACTGTTTTTATTAAAATGACTGGTGGGTAGTAGAAGAAAGAAATGGTAACTGTTAATGAAATTCAAGTAGTTATTTTTACTGATGTTTGATTTGTCTTTGGTATTCATCTCTCCCCTTTAGTGCCAATACAAAGGAAGAGTATGCAATGAGCAAGATGTACTTTTCCCCATTGAGTAGCTGTATTTTGGGGTTTCTTTTTTGTCCTCTTAAAAAAAAAGCTAGCTACAATTTGAGAAATGTATTTTGCACCCTTTCTGCAGCCAAAACCAGTTAATGAGCTGACCTTGCCATCAGATCAAATCGCCTCGGAAAATGACTCTATTACTGTCATTTAACCATTTGTAGCTGAACATCAGAGCCTTACAAATTAAACAGGCACTACTGTTTGAACCATTATTTTACCACAATTGTCTGAAAAGATTAATTCCTTTTGGGGTGAGGAGGGGGGCGCATTAATGGGTACAGACCAAGAGAGATTGTATGACCTTTTCAGAACGGGTGTGCTGAACCCACGGTCCCCCTTGTCACAGTTTAAAAACCAGAGGAGCTAGTTTAGAGAAGAAGTTGTTAGCATTCCATTTTTATTATGACATTTCACAGTCATCTGATTTAATGTCCCTTGACCAGATTGTCCACCGTGAGACGATGGGCTTGAAACGTTATTTAGAGCATTGATAAAAGGTGAGCAGTTCTAAGATGACAGCAAGTCATAAGGCTGGTGGTGTGACATTAATTTTCTCCATAACAGAGATGGAATAAGACGTCATGGTGACAAGCTGTCAATCAGTACTGGCCCCTCAGTGTATCTTGATGCCATAGGATGGGGTATTGCTTCTCCCATAATAGAGCTGAACTGAGATGCTCTCCCTGACAGCTGCTGCAGCCATACAGAAAATATATTATACAGCCTTTCATTAAAGAAATAAAGAGGACTCATCTCCAGAGCATTTCAATCTTTTCCCATCTATTGAGGGCTGAAAAGATTCACAGCAAATCACGGATTCCTCTGCTATGAAAATTTCAGGCTTCAGGAACCGTGCAGGTTTCGAGGCCTTCAACAATAGTCATAAATAAAAAGACAGAATAACATCTGATAAATCATTACTTAAGGTTATGTATGTAAAGTAACATATTAAAGTAATTTGCTTCTCCTGCGGTCTCTGCCACAGCATTGTACACATTTCCAGCAGTCTCCGCAAGTCACGATGTGCAGTAAATGAATCTAAGCTGACTTGCTGGAACTGAAAGTTCAAAAATAATTATTGTGTGGGATGCTGACAAAGGTAGCAAAGTGAAATACAGCATGGGTGCCTTTTGGCAGAATAAGCTGACCAGGATGAAATTTGGAGAAAAGGGGACTGTACAGCACTGCAGGAAGGAGGGCAGTCACTTGGCTTGCTCTGTGTTTGGCTTTTGCTTTGTTTTCTTTCTGCAGCTTGGTGTTTGTTTTGTTCATTGGGAAACTTGGGTGAAACAGAGAAATGTTTTTGTAAATCCTTTCACCATCATGGTATTAAAGCAGAATTATACCTGTTGTGGTATCAGTTCTGATAAGAAGCATCCAAACCTTGATCGTTGGTATAATAAATCAGGGATGGTGCCAACATGCATTTGAATTTTAGCAGTGCTATCTGTAACTGTTTCTGCCACCTTCAGTTTGTAAGCACACAAAGCAGAGGGTTGAGTGCTGATTAAATTTGACTGACAGTATTTTTAAGCTGTATTTCTGGTGATGAATGTATTAAAAATTATGAAAATATTATTAATCATTAGCTCATGATAACATGGCATGGATGTATTTATATGTATGTAGTATGTGGCATATTACACTTAACTGGGTTCCACTGTTCCGTATACCAAGGTCAAACCTTAACTCTAAACAGTAGGTGGTCAGTAGGTGCTTGTGAAATTAGTATGAGGTGATTTAACTGTTAGATTTGTCTTACTAATAAAGGGATGAATATTATGCCCATTTTAATGGATAGGTTATCTATGCATAAACATACTGTACTTTTTGCAAGAAGACATTTAATATTTCATTTAAACAGTGCCTTTGGTTTTCAGATCAGTGATGTTGTTTATTCTGCTTTTCCATAACGGCCGAGTTTGCCTTCATAGTAAATTAAAGAACTTGGTGTTTTATCTGATGTTACTGTTTTCTAGAAATCTGGACATTATCATAAGCAGCAAAAAAGGTTTTCACCTGCACTACATTAAAATTTTAGAAAAGTCCACATGCATTAAATGCGTTAGCCCAGATTTTAAAATACTTCAACATAAATCTGCATACTAGCATTTATGAACAAGACTTGCAAAAGCAAACAAAAATTAGGCCACATAAAATTACATGATTTAAAATGAATCTGAAAATCTAACTTTAGACTTCTCTTTTGGAGTTCCTCCCCTAGGTTGTCTAAAACTGAATGATAATAGCAGGTTGGTTATTAATTAATTGCAGATTTAAAGTTGCACTCGATATTCTATCGTTTGAAATTCTGCAACTATTAAAATGTATTTAAAGCTAGATCATGGGAATTTTAGCATTTCACACCTAACCAGTGGCAATACTCCCAGACTGTTACTTCTAGTTATTTGAAAAAAGAGCAGCAACAGAGCACATTTTCCAAACAGCTTTCTGAACTATGTTAGATGAATAAATGCAAGTGTTAGCCTACTGTTTAATTTTTAATTCCTCTTTTTAATATCTATATATATATTGCTAAAATGCATGTTTAAAAAAAAAAAATTATGTGCTTTCTGCCATGGAATTAGAACCAGCTTTTAAGTCTTCTTTTTCATATATAAATATATTTTTGGACATGATGATTATGAAATTTAAGTTGTTAAGTCCTCCTTTGATTGTTTTTGCTCTTGTTATTTGCAAGCTATGTGCAAGCTTGCATATAATAGTGAACTACAATAAAAAAAACAATATTGACCCTAAGTCACTGTCCAAAATTTTATTGGAGCCATCAAAGTGAAAAATAGAAAAATAGAAAAAATAGAAAATGTGAACATATATCTTACAAAAGCATTCAGAAAGAGGAACTGTTTCATTGTATTAATTTCATTAATACAGTCATGCAGTTTAAAATTTTGATGGACAGTTGTTCATGAGGATTAAGGCAGTAGAATTGGTGATGTATTTAATAATTCATATTATCATTTTTCCTTTGCATTTCTTGATTGGGGAAGTTAAAGTCGCAAAACACTCAAAGAAACACTGACAACTGTACATTCTTCAGAAAATAATGTTTAGAATTATGGGTATGTTAGACAAAATTACACTAGCATCTGAGCTGGGGAGGAGACTATTAATATTGTTTTGGTTTGTCTTTTTTGCAACCCAGAATTGTTTTTCTTTTTATTATTTTTTAGAGTCCAATGATGATGTTCCATAACATGAAGGATGTGGGATTTCTTCAGGTGAAGGTCATCAGGGCAGAAGCATTGATGGCAGCTGATGTCACAGGCAAGGATTCGTTTTAGTTTCTGTGATAATAAATATTGTAGTAAGACTGAACCTTTTTAGAAGTGTAACATATTATGCTTAAACCAGAAGTTTATCTAAAGATTCTTGGCTTCACAGAGCTCAGCCTCACCTTCTGCTCATTAAGAAGAAGGCCTGCAAACAAATAAAACTTTTGTAAGCAAGTCAGCAAGTTGTTCTAATGCTAGCAGAGCACTACATAGGTTACTTCTCAGGAGGGTGAAATATGCATTTTGCTCCATCAGAGGTCCTCAAAAAAATTACATAGAAAAGACTTCTTTTTCTAGTAGACAAAAAAATAGAAAACTATCCAAATTAAAGTTGAATTCCAGAGGACTAGGCAAATGAAAGGTGCTAGATTTAGATGCAGCTTCAAATCAGTTGCCAAAAGGACAGCTTGATATCTGCCAGATATTGAGCAAAGCTGGTGTTGATTTCAGACATTTCAGTGATTTCAGAGATTTCAAATAAATGCAAAATAATTGCAGTTTCCTGTAACTACTGCTTATCTGTTTAAGAAATAAAAAAAGTCTTTTTTATTTTCTGTTTCTGTTAACATAAGCTGGATGGATAATTCAACTGTTTGCTTTTCAAAATAAGAAAAAGTATTTCAGCCATAATGGCCATATTTCTCCAGAAATATCCGGGTTGTCTCCTGTAAGTACAATCACCTTCACACCGCACAAGTTGAATGGAGCAAAATGAGCTGCTTCTGTGTCAGAAAATAGACATCTCTGCTTTAAAAAAAAAAGATCAAAAAAAAAAGAAAATTATACTAATCTAGCTGGTTTAACTGCAAACTGGACATTGTTCTGTTACAGGAGCAGGAGCAGATATATAGCAACATGCTCACTTTTAATAGTTTTTTTGTGAATTAGCATGAACACCAGTATTATTTTTTTTTTCCACAGCCAAGTTTGCAGCAAAGACTTTAGTGCTATAAGTGATCATCCAGTTTGTGGCATGCAAAATAACAGATTCTATTTTCGGGGAGGTTAGAGAAATGCTTCTAAAGATTCCTCTCTCTGATTTGACCTTATAATCCAATGTGGTCTGAACAGAGAGAGATTAGGTTATTCAGGGGCAAATGGGATAATTCAGTCCCCGACCTCGTTCAGTCTTCGACTTTTACAGATCAACATGTCATTTGTGCTGGTTGAACAAATTTTTTGGAAATACATTTGATTCAATTAAAGATGTACAGAGCTCCCAAAAATTTTCACACATTGCATTTACGATGGCGGTCACAAAGACAGGGTAGAACAGTCGATGCCTTCCCGTGTCCCGCATATTTTGTTCATTGGCAAGAAAATGTTTGTATGGCAGATATGTTTTGTAAGATGGCTGTGCATTCCAGACATTGCAGAAATAATGTATTTTGGACAAAAATACCTTGTATTTTGAAAAGAGGTTTTATTAATTGCTGCAGTAATGTATATTTACTTTTACTGAAATCAAGATCATTGATTTCAGATTAAACTTTGAATAATAATTTTTAGAAGTAAAGTAGCCATTTGGTGATTCAAATGTGATTTGCAAGAGTAGTTTGAAACTGGACCCTCCACCTTGATTCAATGGGGCAGTGTTACAAGTCAGTGTAGAGAGCACTGTCATCAGTGGTGTAATTTACGCGACTAAGGATTGCTTCCGAAGGACTAGTTTGCTCTTCTAACTATGTTGTTTTTTCAGAGTTAATCTTTTGCCCTCCCCTGAGTCTGAAAAGTAGCTGAAGCACCTGTATAGTACCTGTGTGGTTTGCTTTGCTTCCTGTCTGCTGAATGTATCCCATTTCACTTTCAGAAATTTTTTCATGTGAAGCTATAAATCAAAATTTATTAGTTTGGGCTGAGTGGATTTTAAAAATCTTTAATATTCCATCATTAAGCATAAGCATAGACAGAAAAAGATTTCTGTAATCTTTTAAGTAGTCATCAATCTTGCTACAGTTGCAAGGATTTTTTTTACTTTCAAATTGTGAAATTTTTCTTTTGTTACAATACATTCATTGAGCAGCGTTGTAATGCTGTATTAACTCTGCGTGAATAAAGAGCAATTGAGACTCCCATTGAATGAATGAGTAAAAAACACAAATTACTTTTTAATGAAACCCTCAATTCTTCTGCTTTTCTTAGAAAGCCCATAGCCTTGTTCAACTGAATGCTGCTACAGTAGGTCACTTCACCTAAGCCCCTAATAAACTATTGACAGTCAAGGGCAGTTTTTAATCCAGTCTCAATAGCCCAGTGTTGGACAGTACACTTCAAATTGTTCAGGTTAGTGTAGACACTTTTTTAAAAGAGAGAGATTAAGGGTGGTGGCTAATGCCTCAGTTTACAAACAGCCCTCTCCCCCCATACAAACATGTTGAACAAGGTGGCAGGGTGGGCTGGAATTAGGGTGGACAGGGAGCAAGTGGCACCACCTGTTTGAAAATGAGGCACTGTGCAAACGTGCCAGAACTGAGTTTTAATTATACTGCAGAAAAGAATAAAGTGAGATCTCTCCTCACTCAGCTTCCTTGCAGGGATGTCTAAGAAAGGGAGGAGCACTGGAGGGTTGAGGGATTCCCCACCAGTGCTTGAAAGCTGACCTTGATTGTAGGGAGAGCTGGAAAATAGCATGTCTTCCAGGACTGGGGCCTTTGAGAGAATTGCCAGGTCTATGAGGATGTTTCTTCTGCAAAAGCAGCATCTTTCCATAGTCAAAACACAATTCTAGGGCTTTCGCGAATGCAAAATTATGTTTTGTTGGAAATTTTGGTCACAGCAAATATCCCTGTCTGGAAAATATGGGGATTATTTTAATTTTTTTTTTTTTTAACTATAATTAACAAACGGAGGGACATGGAGCATGGAATTTACTTTTTTTTCTTGAGAGGGGAAGGTTCTTTGACTCTTCCGTTGTGTTTTAGCTGTTCACTGTAAGGCTGTTTTCTCCCTAAAATCTCAGCTAAAAAGTTTTATATCCCTCTTTCCCCACAAGAGTCTTTGCTCATTTGTGGTTACTCTGGAACACATACAGACCTTATGGAAGGTTCAGCTGCTTGCAGGGTCCTGGCATAGCAACATGTGTGCCTACAGAAGTGTCCTTTACACCAAGAAATACGTGAGCATAATCAGCTTACCATGACAGCCTCTGAAACCATATGCAGTTCACCTAACCTGTATGAGTTTTGGAAAGCAACAGACCCTTCATTAGATCTTAGGCAGAAGTTCTTCCCTGTGAGGATGCTGAGGCCCTGGCACAGGTTGCCCAGAGAAGCTGTGGCTGCCCCATCCCTGGCAGTGTTCAAGGCCAGGTTGTACGGGGCTTGGAGCAATCTGGTCTTGCGGAAAGTGTCCCTGCCTGTGGCAGGGGATTGGAAATGGATGAGTTTCAAACCAATCCGTGGTTCTAGCATTCTATGATCGTATGACATGGTGCAGTTGGGGCAATAGGTAGTCATCTTCTGTTTGCAGCAAAACGAGGTGTAGATATGTTGCAGTGGAGGACTGCAGGCTTTGCAGGCAGCGCTTGAATCTCCTTTACTGGGGAGATGTGCTCTTCCTTTTCCCTGAATCATGAAATACAATTGAAAACCTCTGCCTTATTACTGATAAGAAACAAGCAGGTTGGGAAAAGATGTGCTTTGATCAGTTTCATTTGATCAGTTTGGTCATGGTTTGATCAGTTTCAGCAGAAGTCCTATTCTTTTAAGGAATAATAGTTAGCAACTCAGATTCTTTAGCAGAGCAAAATCTAAGCTCTGTGAGACGGCCTGACTAGAAAACAGTTTGTTTTGCTGTCTTTGGGCTTTAATTAAGACATGTTCAATTCTCACTCCCTGCTCCCCCTGCCCCCACCCTGCTTGCTGTGTCACAGACCGGCAATCAGACGCTTTCAGATGGTCCAGCCCATGACTTTGACCTTCTGCGCGGTATGGCGTTCCCTGGGGAACCGTTCAGCTCATGAGGTCTGATTTCACACTTCCAGGATGCCTTGGCTCTCTTAACAATGACAGGGAGACAAAGCCCTTTAGAGCGGGCCGCATGGGGACTTGTTTAAATTGGAAACTAGAGAGGAGTCAAGGAACAAGGTTACAGGCTACAGAATAGTGCTTTTAATAAAGAGCTCACAGCTCTGGTTCAGCTCAAAGAGGGCTACCTCTGTACAATTAATTGAGACATTTATCTGGAGCATCTTAGGCCTCTACTTTCTCACAGAATTATGTGATAAATATCAGCTAAGAGGCAAATGAGATGTGCATGAAATGAATTTTTAACACTTTGATTACTGTGTCTCCGGTCTTCATTAAAAGTAAATTTACTTGTATTTCTGACCTTATTATTAATCAATTATCTGAGAGGGGTTTTTTTTTGGTTAGCATGATTTCAGAACCTGATATATCAGAAAGATTTTACTGAAGAGTGATACTTGGTGATACTTCAGTTTACAGTCAAAAGCTTTTCAGGCGTCTCCTCCTCTGAAGAACAGAAAGTAAGCATAAAAAATGAAGATTTTTTTTTTCCTTCTTTTTCAGTTTTATATATGAAAATCTGACTCCATTCTAAGAAAATTCCATGTTAAAATTTTGATTAAAGTACTTGAAAGTAGGACGAAGATACCAAGGTGGCTAAACGTGCAGAATGTAAATGAGTTTTCTAAAATCTGTTTTACTAAAATGTCCTTGTACCACATGTGCAAAAATAGTCTTTGAAATTGTTCTTCAAATGCTAGGAAATGTCAGAGTAATGTACACAAATGTTAAATTCACAAAGGTATGGAAGCCCTTGCATGTAAAATTGAAGGAATAAATTCAGAGGCCCTTTGGAAATATGGTTCCAGAAGTAATTTGCTCTGTCAATTAGTGCAACTAGATTTCAATATACACTTGAATTATATTCATGAAGTACGGAAATCTACTAGATGGGTAGTGTTCTCTGATAGATAAAATCTCACCTGCTGCTATTGTATAGGTCGTCTCAAGACATCAGTCCAATATT